ATCGGTTTGTCATTGTGATTAGCATTTAGAAATGAATCTTCATTAGAGAAATGAAGTAATTGCTGATTAATAGCTTCTATAATATTCGTTCACACAGTGGATTATGTTAAACAACGCCTAAACAAATATTGTTTTCGCAACTTCACTCATCATGTAATAATTGTGTTTAAAGAACATCATGTAATTAAAATTAACATACATTCATTGACTGATGGTATTTTTTTACTTTTTCGCTGGCGACTACTACATTTCATTACTTCTTTACTTTTCTTACTAGCTTAACAAAAAAGTAAAGCACATTTCTATATACATATTTAATTCAAATTCTCTAAAATCGTACCCTGTTTTTCATCTCTGATGACTCGAAACATATAAGTACATTCTGTCCATGTCCATAATACGTTTACAGTTAACAACAGCTCGAACAATAATCGTAATTCATCTCGATTTTATCGTCCGTTCACTTGTACTGCAGCATTTTGCATATAACAAATAATCAGAACATTGTTAGTTTCTGCATAAATCAATAATACATGCTTGGTTAACAACGACTATTTAAATTTTCAACGGAGCACTTCAAATGATTACCCAGGTTCAATGACTGGAACTATGGTATTTTTTAGAATTCTGCACACCGAAGCGTCACATATAAACTTGTATCTCTCTCCTCAAAAATATTCTTCCAGTAGGGTTCGTTATTATAATCGTTCAAAAATCGAAAATGAAAATTTTTAGATATCTTCATATCCAAAGTTCAGAGTGTTCTGAACATTTTGGCATACCTGATAAAAATTGATATGTGTGTGTATGTGCAACATTTGGTCGACTATTTCAGGTGTATGGATAAACCAATTTGAATAATTCAAAAAGGAATCAATTCCTATTGATAAGGATTTTTTTTTAACTCTGTTTTATTAAACAATCAGAAATACATAAGAATTCCTATAAGCTAAATTGACAATAGTTGAGAGCGATGTCTGAGAAGAACTGATGGGTTTGAATGTGATTCCAGTTTACGTTTGTATTTTTGATAAGGAGATGTGTAGATTAGTTTTTGGCAAAGGCTAGTCGTTTCGGGGATACGAAGCTAAATGTGCAAAAAATGGTAGATTTTGAGAAAACTAAGGATCTTATTTCAATGATTTGAAAAACTTTCTGCTTGTGTTGACAAAACGATTGCTTTCGGGGAAAGAATTTTGTTTTATTTCATTTGTTTATACCCAATTTTTTTTAATATCTAAATTCTTCTAATTCTAGCTAAAGTCCTAAATATCACTTATATACTTCAAATAAATAATTTTGACTCTGCAATTCAGTTTGTATAATTCTTATAAATATTAGACCTTTCTACATATTCTTATAAATATTAGAATATTAGTTTTGTTTATTTACTTTTCATACAAACATATATAAACGTAGTCGTCCAATTCATAAGCTCTTATATTTTGTCTATAAAATACGAATAATGAACAAAGTTACAGTATTTATAATAATCTATTTGAAAACATTTAATATTCCTTGAATTTCTTTCATTACGGTACGGGAAGTTCTTGTAATTTGTCTTGAAGCACGATACCATTCACAACTAGTTAAAATTTTCATTTAATGGATATTATGATACAGAAAATAATATTATTTTTTAAAACAATAAAAATAATATAATCATAATAATATGAATAATATCAATACATACAATTTATTAAACTAGATTTACTACAAATGTTCATGTGCATTATGCTGCTTCATTTTATTGATCACTAGTTTTCAATTTCAATTTTTACCAATTTTTTATCTATATTTCCCTATTTTTATTAAAAATGGTGATAATAATAAACAATAATTAATATAATTATAGATATTATAAGTCTATTTGAAAAGTATGAATTTGAAATCGCATATATCAATTTTTAGTATAAGAGAAAACTTGATTTCTGAGAAAATTGAAAATTTTATCTAAATAGCTAAATCTTATTGATTATGTCGATTATTCATATGGGTCGGGTTTATGCAACTAGCATTAAGGCAAAATGTCACTCGCGCCAAGTTTGATATTATCATCATAATTAAAATCTATTGTTTTAGTTAACATTCAAGTAGATTGGTCGCCTTTGGTCTGAACAATTTTGCTCTCACAAATAAATAAGGTGCTCTTTGAATTCACATATTTCTTGACATAGCCTTCGAAGTGACATGATAAAATAACTAAAAAATTTAATTGTGAAATTGATGATTAATAGTACTGTGATATCTATAATAACTGTCTGATATATAGTCGCTATTTGGAATTCAACCAATTGCATCCAAAACATCTGTAATTGATTAATTTCGTGCTTCAATCACATGACATTTTTACGTTTGTTATCCAATTCAATTTAATTTTATTATTAATATTCTTATTCTGACATTAACAATATCAGCTGTATTTTCATGAAGTGTAAAACCTCAGTTATAGCATAATATTGCAAGATTTTGAAATAAAACTTAATTATATGTGGGTAATAATTAACTGTAGCTGCAATAGAATGATATTATCGCAAGTATTATTTGTTACTCAATTATAATAATAAATCAATTTAATTCCAAGGTAATGTTCTATATGCATTTGATTGAAATGCAATGCTGGTGTCTCTTGGGTCTTGTATTATAGTGTAAATAAGTTTTTTGTTTGGTTTTCTAATTGGGAAATCTAAAAATTATAGATAAAGGCAATGCTCTACATTATCATGAAGGTGCGGCTGGCATAACTATGTAAATATTAACTGCCAAGAACTATTTGAAATCAACTTAATAATTATTTGATTGACACTTAAAACATGATAATGCTGTTTTATTTTTAACCTTAAAGTTAAAGTTTTTAGGATTTTTATCTGCCAACTATTTATGAAAAATATCATTTATGTACATGTGACTTGGCCTAATTTGTGGTGCGAATAAAATTTTCCGGCCAAAGCTTTTATTTAAAGCCAAAGTGTAACGCGTGAATTACGAGATAAATGATTTTATTGTCACTCGTAAAATTGTGTTAAAAGTCAATGTCGAAAGCGCATCTGACTGAATCATAATATATAATTCATTCCATAAATTGTAACAGTCCGTTATAAAACGTTTCGAACGGTCCTTTTGCCTTCTTACAACACTGATCAGAAAAATTATTTCACACGTTTGAATAACATAGTAATAAAATTTTTGTCTTATTCGTTCTCACATTTTCCTAAGAATAATTCAAACGAACAATGCCCGAATACGTACGAGACCGAGGACGGCAGTTTTAAAATTGCTTAATTTTTAAATTAATTATGTATAATTCTAATTTCATTAATTACTCTTTTCAAGGTAACGACTTCTTAAATTAATTATTTTATTAATTTTGTTATGAAATAAATAGACCCATTAAAACATTCCTGTAATGAGTTAATTATTTAAAAAATATCTTCGTTAGGCATAAAATAACCAATAGCAAATGTATTTATCTTATTATGACCAAAGAAAACTCATCCGTTGTATTAGACCACCATATTAATGCATCTCCCTTTAATGCATCAGATTATTAGTGATCAATGATCAGTAAAATGATTATGATATAAATTAGACATATGCACATCAAATTATCAGATATTTTATAGAGATTTTAATAATAAGTATGCATTTTGTTTACATTTCTATGGGTTCCGTACCCATGTTTATCCGTTATACAGCGACGCGGCGCCCACGCGCTTAGATATTTTATTTTTATCGCTATTGCTTAAAAAAAGTTTCTTAATTTTCAAAATATTTTAAAGTATAAGAAAAATTCTAATTTTGCAAAATGGTCACTTTTTATAAAAAAATAATAATATCGAAAATCTATTTTATTTTCAATCTTTTCTAAAGATTTTAATATTTTGTACGGAAAGTTCCATCAATTTGCCTTAAGGCACCATGCCATGCATTACTAGTTCATTCATACTTTGACTGAAAAATATACAAAAATAAAGTATTTTGTAGGCAATATAAAAATTTAATAAATAATCCAAATCTTTACTCTCAAATTACTTTTATATGGCAGAGCGAGGCTTCAAGGTCCGCGAGTAAAACGATCCACCACCAAAATCTCAATAACAAGTAAAATTTGGGAATTTTTATCAACAATAATTGAAAGTAGAGAGCAAAAGATACATAACTAGCCATCGTCTTGATTCTCTTGACGTCGCTATCAAAAGATAAAAGGCATTGTTTGAAAATCCATAACTAAAGTTTTTTCTTTCCTTGTTAGTTTTTTTCATTGTGGGCACTGTTATTTAGTTTACGAGACTTTAATATAATATTTAAGTCTATGTTATTTAAATGCTTTATAAGATGTATTGTTTAAGTCGGCTTAAACAGTTGTTATATTTATAACCTCTATAAAAGCTTACATGTGGGTATGGTGAAAAGAACCAACTAAACTTTTACACTGGAAAAGAATTAACGAAATTCCAGATAAAAGTTATATTCATAATGCGATCTTTTTAAAAATGTGCCATTATTTTTTTTGCATTGGGTTAATGAAGGGATTGAAATTGGAACAGTTTGTACCTCTGCTGCATTTTTAACCTTGCATATGGGGTAGAAAGAGACAGATGACTACTTTTAGAAAAATATTAATTAAACATATTTCTATAATTAGGAAATAACTGTGAATTTTACTGAACATAATTCAGTGAAAGTATTAAATTTGAACATGTGATATGGTTCATTTTGTTTAGACAATATAATTACTGAAAGTCAAGACAGTAGTCCCTAGCCTACCTTACATTAAAATATTGTGCATGATTAACGTTAATTAAAAATAATAAAATTATAATTTTATTTAAAAATATTTTACGAATTATGCAGGTTTATAACATTTTTCTGTTTTCCCATAACAGGTCCGCCAGTAATGCTCATGCCCGACATTGTCCAATCAACCTGTGCTCTATGACCGGAACTTCATTTCGGGATTTTACCCGAAATTTTCGATTTTTCCGGAAATGTTTCAAACAATGATACCCGCGGTCGTGACTACCGGCATAGATCGGACACATCGTTCCATCGAACATAATGCGGGTTCTAATATTTTCGATGCCGCTCGATTTTCGGGTTCCCAACAACCAGTTTCTTTGGGAGAACGTGGAACCAAGGCGCCGAGAGAATTGCAACGACTCAATCTAGAATATGATAGACATAGGCATCTGTATAGCTGGATCGAAGATTCATCGGCGATTGGTTTCAACAGGCAAAGAGATCAGATGCAACAAAATCAAGTTTTACAGCAAAAACAACATTCAAAACATCAGCAACTCAAAAGACATTTGTCCCATGATGTGGTATCGAGTGGGGAGCAACTTCATACGACTCAAGGTACGTAGTAATTGTGATATAAAACATTATATACATAATATATATATATATATATATATATATATATATATATCAATGTTAAATTATTAATTTTAACTAATAGATTTCATTCAATTGTCAAAGCTTCCTTATATGTTTAATAATTTTATTTGAGTAAGAAATATAAATACGATTTGACAGAATAAAAATAATATTTAAATAATTTACGTAGATGAAAAGTGCATATGATTTTTTTTTTAAATTTATTTTGCAATACTATACATTAAGGACAATTTAATATGACGGCGTGTGAAGCAATGACTATCTGTATAGTCTAACATTAATTATTTATTAAATATTGGAGAAGTTGAATTCCATTTCAATATAAAACTTTTATTTTAAGTTTCCAATATAAATATGTAAAATAATTGCTCACATTTCTTTATTGCCCATCAATTCAAAATTAACATCATTTTTTAAATGATTCATTATTTACATAATTACAAAAGTCTGTAAGTAGGTGCGATATTTCAAAATTCGAATTGGATTCGAATGGGATAATTATTTTCCATACACACATACTACACACACACATACATCCATTTTTTCTGAGGTATCCCAAAACCTTTGAAACGTAAAGATATGCAAAAATTTTCATTTTCGATTTTTTTGCGATTACTATAACTTACCCTACGGGAAGTTAAAAGTATTTTGTATATTTGCATACATGTATTTACATATACGTTTCGAATTTGTATTGCCAATCCAAACCGCAGAATTGGTGTTAGAAGCATCCAAAATATTGAATTGAATCAAAATTTAAATTGGATTCGAATAGGATAATTATTTTTCATTTTTTAACAGGAATACCATTTCAATTATTTAAAAATTGTTTTTGTTTTCAAAGCTATTGATTAGATAGAGTCGAACCACTTCCATATAATTAGGAATTAGGAACAAAATACTTTCACAAAAACTTCTTGAAATGATTGTGAACAATAATCGTTTGAATACCATTAGAGAAATGTTTCCATTAGTTAACTTTCCGTGAGGCAGGTTATAGTAATCATAAAAAATCGAAATTATTGAAAATTTGTATATAACGTTTCCCTAAAGGCGTTTATAACTAGTCCTGGCATATCTAGATCGCGTAGTTTCTTCTCAATAATGCCCTGTTCTCGGACTACTACTTTAATTTTTTAGTTTTCAATTTTTGTTGACCAATCGACGGTTCTCTGGTTCTCAAAAATTAAATGTAACCTTTTCAAAGGCAAAATAAAACTCGTAATTATATATTTTTATACTCTATTTGGAATAATACTAAAATAATATACTTGAAATGCAATTCGTAACAAAATATAGTATCAAAGTCTGAAATTTGACTATAAGATTTTTCAATACTCAAATTTTTACCTTTAGAAATTGTGCAAGAAATAACTACTAAAATAATATACTTGAAATACAATGTCGTAACACAATATAATATCAAATCTGAAATTTGATCATAAGATTTTTCAATAGGGTAGGGCGGGGCTAGTTGAGCATAGGGGCAAGTTGAGCAATCGAAATATCTCGAAAACTATTCACCGTCCGTTTGGGCATTATATGGCGGAAAGATAGAGGTTTAGGAGAAATAAACATCCCGCAATCGCTAGTGGCCGCTGGACAAATGAGTGAGGCTCACGGGCGTTTTGCTTATTTTGAGACCAAAAAGTAAAAAAATAATTCATCACGAGTTTTTGTCTGGTTTAGTCAAATGTTATTTATTTTTAATCAGATAAATGTTATTCTTCCATATAATTATAGTACTTTTGATATGCACAGAGATTCTGGGTATAATTCTCACGGTTTTTTTATAAACTCACTTTTATTTTGAAATTCCGAGGTGGGGTTAGTTGAGCATAGTTGCTAAACTTGTTCTGTCACTAAGACAATTACCATTAACTTCCAGAAATTAATTATTATTTTTAAGATTTAAGCTAAGTCTATGAGTAATAATATAAATAAATAATGATTTTAAACAAAAATACTGAATATAATAATAATGGTAAAATAACTCCTAAGATACGATATTGTTGATTCTACTTTTGGTTAATTATTCAAAGAAAATTACTATAAGTTTTGTTTTCTCTGTCAATAAAGACTATAAATATAGAACTGGTTATTAAAAACTAATTTTATTTCATCACTAATCGACATTGAACCTATGATTTCATTATAATTTCTTAGTGCTCAACTTGCCCCACCTATGGGGTACATTGAGCATACTTGACTTTTTGCATTTAAACAGCTGTAGCTTTTAAATTTCACTTATTGCCAAAAAATAGTATTAACACTTTTGTTAAGCGATAAACAACAAATCCATTAAGCCGTATAGCAATTTATTAAGACTTTTCATTGAGGAGCTACATCCGTTTAAGTAAAAAGTTGCTCAACTAGCCCCGCCCTACCCTACTCAAATTTTTACATATATAAATTGTGCAAGAAATAACTACTAAAATAATATAGTTGAAATGCAATGCCTGTTACGACATTAGATTTTTCAATACTCAAATTTTTACTTCTAGAAATTGTGCAATTGGACACGCTCACATATTTTAATAAAAAATATTTACCCCCAAGACTGCAATATATTCAAGATACTAAGTGGATTCAAATGTTGCATAAAATACAGTACAACAGCTTTCATTCTAAATAAATATACAAATTCATATAGATGGTAATGATTTGAAATAATCAATGTTAAAATTCAAAATTCATGAAAAATAATATGAATTGAAATGGTATATTTAAATTTATCAGAGTTCTAAATCAAATTTCTTCATTTGAGCCAATACTAAAAAATAATCAGCAAAGCTCGTTAAATAACATAAAAAAGTTTTTTTCTAATTTTTGTTGAATAACACCCGATTCTGCAAAAATGTTTACCATAGAAAAACAAGCGACTGATTTCTCTATTTCTCAGTTCACTCCTCTACATATATCTCTTCTACCAATTACGGTTTTTCACTACAGTCTGATCTAGGGCGCACATTTCTTGAATTCCACAAGTTTTTGTTAGAAGTAATTATTTTCTAATACCTAGTTGGCGTTTCCATTATTATCTTATTGTTCTTGCTTATAAAGTTTTAGTTTCGACCGGTGTTAAAGAAACCGTTTAATGAATTATTTTTTTGCTGTTATATACAGTACGAACTTCTTTCTGACACAAACATTTTCGGGAACTATTCAATTAATCGAACTATTCAAATCAAATCTTATTTTTAAATTTTTTGCAAAAATATTGAGAAGAAAACGGAAAAAGTACAATCTTACAATTAGTTGAAAAAATTAATTTATACCCGCATGAAAAAAAATTATTATCTACTGAAAATTATAATTATTCACAAAAAAAGTATTGGAAATATACTTTATATTTGTATACATGTATGTATATATGCTGTGTATATGTATATATGTATAAAAAAAGTTGTATTTTTAAATTATTTATAGCTGCAATACCCAAAAGCTGGTGTTAATAGTTAACTGAACATCCTTGAAAGTCCTTCAAAGTATAAATACTTTAGTGAGTAAAATGCATATTGTAACCCTTGATGGTACATAATTTTTTTAAAATGTCGAATAAAATGCTATCAATAATTTTGATTGTAGGAGATTGCGCATGGCATCGTGCCTTAAGGCTGGAACCTCCCGTACCAAAAATTATTATTTTCTTAAAAACGATTAACATTTTTGAAAAAATTTAACTTCGAAAAAATTAGATTTTTCAAAAACTACAAATTTGACAATAATTTTTTTTTTTTTGAAAAAAAAATATTGAAAAAAAATGTTTTTTTTATTTTGACATATTTTGGATATTCTGAACTTTTTTTCAAAGCAATCGTACTGCATAGAGACGAAAAGTCAAAGCGCGTAAGCGCCGCGTCGCCGTCTAACGGATAAATATTGGTACGGAATCTATAAGAATGTAAATAAAATTTATACTTATTGTTAAAATCTTTATAAAATATCTGATAATTTGATGTGCATATGTCTAATGATCATTTTTGACCGCCAAATGGCATTTTTTTTACTTTTTTCATTAGATCTCCGAAACCGCTATACCTGCCTTCATGAAAATTTGATCAATTCTTCATCTTGTCAATACAAGTTAAATTTTTATTGAATTATTAAAATCGGACGCTCCGTTCTCTTAAAAACTGAGTTATCATTTTTGGCACTTTTTGCCCCGTATCTTCGGAACGGCTAGGCCTACCTTCTTCAAAAACTAATCAGCAGGTCTCCTTATCAATACAAATCGAATGTTTTTTGAATTATTCAAATCGGTTAATCAGTGTTCCCGAAATCGTCAACGAAAATTTGTATCCGCACACACACACATACACACACGCACATACATCCATTTTTTCTAAGGTATGCCAAAATACTCAGAAATCTTTGAAACGTAAATTTATATAAAAATTTTCATTTTAGATTTTTTGCGATTACTATAACTTGCCCCACGGGAAGTTAATAAGTCCTTCTAAAGATTTAAATTATAATATTATAACTAAAGAAATAAATCTTATTCCAATATATTTCTGAGTTAAAAGTCAGAACCATCAACCATAATTTTTTAATTTATAACCGAACAACTCACAACCTTAAAATTGGGTACAATAAATTGTCTATTTTGAATATTTTTATCTTATTCAAACTGCGCGTTTTAATTTTTTTAGTGGAATATATACTAGATGTATAGCATCGTATTCATATGTTTTATTTTGTTTCCAGTTATCGTAGATGTGGAAAATGCGCCTGCAAAAGACGATTCTTCGAAACGGGCATCAGCATTATCGATAATTAAGAAACTGTCTCCATTTGATGGTGGATCAAGGAGCGATCATTCAAATTCCTTGGAATCTAATCCCGATCAGAAAAAATCTATGACCGCTTCAAGTGGAGGTAGTTCCAAGTTCAGGACAGCTAGTTCTGGGTAAGATCAACAGTCTTATATAGATTTTCATTGTAATTATTAGACTTTTCGTTGTTTAGCTAATGATATTCTACTATGTATCACAGCTATGAATGATATTTTTCAAATTTAATACTTATTGTTATTTCTATCAGAATTTTTCTCTCTTTTTTTAAATTAACAACTATTTCCTATTTAAATTAAAATCATTTTGGTTTTGTTAAATATCTAACTGCAAAAAAATTCTATTACAAAAAGTCGAATAAGTATGAAAAATATGGATACAATTATTATTTTATTTTACGGGATGACATTTTTATGAGAAATAGAAAAGTAACTGCCATTATAAAAGACGCATTGAGATATGTCACAAAGAAATTAGATTATACATAATTGTTTTTATTGGTTATGGTGACAATGGTTTCTTCGAAGGTTTATTTAGGTGTGTTGCTACTCGTTCTGTATATTTTATTGATATGATTTTATTGATTTTATTCATAAGATTTCTTTTGGTTAATAATTCTTTCTGTATTATTTGGTTCATATAAAGTAGAACAGGGCTTAAAGGTCCGCGTGTAAAAAGGTTTTCTTCCGATATTTCAAAAATATGTAAAGTTATGAACATTTTAACAACAATATTTGTAAAAGAGGGAAAAAAATGCATAACGAGCCAATTCTTACGACCTTGCTAACTATAACTATCAAAAATTATAACAGAAGTATTTTCTTTCGTTATTGGTTTTTTGGTTGTGGGCACTGTTGTTTAGTTCACGAGACCTTGTATGTATTGTTAATTTCAAGTTAGATTAAATAGTATTTTTTATATAACCTCTACAAAAGCTTACAAGTTGGTGGGGTAACAAGGACTAACTGAACCTTTACCCCGATAAAGGAGTAAACAATAAAAATAATAAATAAAAAAGTGAACTAAGTTAAAAAGCAATTTTACAGGAGATAAATTGAATAAATAATTATCCTAACTTTGCTGATGAATATTTCTAACGAAATACCAGATCGACGTTATATACGAGTGTTATCTCCGTAAAAAATAAACCCATAAAATTTATATTTTATATTGGTTGAATAATGCACCTATTATTTTGTAAAATTTATTATAAATTAAAAATACCAACCCATTTTACCTCGCCTATGGGGTAAAATGGACCAAGTAAACAGCAGAACAGCAAAAAACACTTTTCTACTATGATAAATTAGTTGGGAGTTTACTAAACATTGTCAGATAGTTGTTTGATTGATATGAGTTTGGTTTTTACAATATAATTGTTCAAAGTCAAATTTGACCTTTGTGCCCCGCGCTACCCTAATACTTAAATAAATACAAATGATATTTAATTAAAATTGGTAATTAATTTCACTTTTTAATAATGCCTTTTTTAATTATAAGTAGATATAAGAAAAAGGTGATATTAAATCGGTGGTTTTCAGAATTACTTTTTTAATTTCCTCATGCCTAAAAAAATTTTTACTAAAACACACATAAATTCAATAAGTTATTTTTTTATAATTGTACAAGTAACTTTGAATTTTGTCCACATTTTCTTAAGATAAAAATAACAATGGCATCGTGCCTTAACGCAAATTGCTGAACTTCCCGTACTTCAATTAGAATGTGTACACATTATTAAAATCTCTATAAAATATCTGATAATTTGATGTACATATGTCCAATAAACATTTTTGACCGTCAAATGACATTTTTTAACTTATTTTTATTGAGAGTCCATAACCGCTGGACCTGCCTTCCAAAAAATTTAATCAGTTCGTCATCTTGCTAATACAAGTAAAATGTTATTTGAATTATCAAAATCAGACGCTCCGTTCTCTTGAAAACTGAGTTACCGTTTTTGACACTTTTTGCGCCGTATCTTCAAAACCTGCCTTCGCCAAAAACTGCTTTTTGAATTATTCAAATTGGTTGATTGGTGTTCCCAAAATCGCACACACACACACATACATCGATTTGTTCTAAAGTATGCCAAAATGTTCACAAACCTTTGAAACGTAAAGATATATATAAATTTTCATTTTCGATTTTTTTGCGATTACGATAACTTACCCTACAGGAAGTTAAAAATATAATACGTTTATTTTTTTAATAGTAATTTAACAAAATTATAACCAATTTAATTAACTCATTATCACTATCGAGTATATTGAGCACTTTTTACCAAAACCAAACGTATGAGTAAGAATGACCAAAAACTCATTAAGGATCATATTACATGATTATAATAAATTGTATTGCTTGTATCTGATGTATTGATATGAAGAATCTTATTATTCTGCATGAATCAAATTTAAATGCCATTGAAAATACTTTCCTGGAACAGTCGTTGTCAATAATGATACATATTCAATTCTTGATCTTTGATTGACAATCGTATCACGATTATAAACTATCGACAACTATCGCAGATCTACATATAGAACAAGGTCGCTCGCGACTCAAATAGAAAATAAAATACTTATAAAGTAAAAGCTGCATAAATGATCCTATACATTTATTGGATCACGTTCCCTGTTTCTCCAACAACGCTTTCAGAATAATGATAATCTACTATTTTAATGATATGTTCAGATCAATTTTGTTAAAGTAAAAAACTATTGATTATATGTCTATAAGTATTGTTTCCTCAGGGAGTTCTGTATATTTCTCTTCGCCAGCACTTATTAAACAGATACAAATCTCGCGTTATATAAGTTAAATATACAAATCCGTAAAGTTGGGTAAACACTTTAAGAATATATTGCAATGAAAGTTTTGTTTGACGTTATGCTGCTATTTGTTTATTAACGTAAAAAATATTATGAAACAATTTTTGCAATATGTGTGTAAACGTGTGTGTCACAAGAAAGTTAATTTGCAACAAATATATCAATGTAGCGAAGATATCATACTTGGTTGATATAGAAGTATCTAGTTACATAAAATATTTCTAAATCTTTAAAAATATCATTTTATTGTAATGAGTTATTTTTCTGAATCTTGTTAAGGAGTATTTTAGGTAACTTTCAGAACGTTTTGTTAATATTAGAAAATGTATCTTCATATCATACATGTTTTACATTTATCAATATCGGAATCGAAGTATGCTACATGCTACATGAACTTTCAAAAAAATCTTTAAAAGTCAAAAAATATATGCCAGTGCATACGACTACTACATAAATTTCCAAAGAGTAATTCATAAGCTCTCTAAACTTTTTGAGATATTTTTGAAGTAAAACTACCCCTCTACCAGGGGTAGCAACCATTCCGTGAAAAGTTTAATGCCTTGAAGTTTGTCACCTTCATGGCCAATATAATAAAACGGAAAGACGCCCGAACAACGCTCTAAGCCTTAGAGTCGATTTACACCTTAGAGTCTAAGATGTAAATCCGTACAAATGCAACGGAAGTTGCATTGATTCGAACGGCCAATGATTCGTCATTCGCTCTCGATGAAATCATTTCTATACGGATCAATTGTGATTAAACGTCGTGTATGTGAATAGAGATCTGTCGTTGTATGCGTACCGGCATCAACGTTGTGTTCGTACCGATATCAACAAGGAAATCGGCGTAGATAAATAAACATTTCAAAATTACATCGTAGTACAAATCCTGATTTAATGAGAAATGCCTAAATCAGAAGAGTATTTTACTCTGCTCCTTGAAAATAATGAAACAACATCGTGGTTTCTATAAATCTTTGAAGTTATTAAAATGGAAATTTTTAGGCAAGACAGATATTACAGCTGTTCAAAGAATGATTGCCAGCAAAAAAGTAAAACAAATACAAGCAGTCAATGAGTGTATGTTAATTTTAATTACATGAAGTTCTTCAAACACAATTACATGAGGAGTGAAGTTGCGAAAACAATATTAGGCGTTGTTCAACATAATCCACTATGTGAACAAATATTATTAATAAGCAATTACTTCATTTCTCTAAAGAAGGTTCATTTCTAAATGCTAATTATAATGACAAACCGTTCATGTCATATTTAAAGTATGACTTTAATTACATTATTGTTTTTAAATATTATACATATTTTTAATACACTAATATAAATGTGTGCATCACGAGTGTTACCATATTACTAATAAATTATTCAAAATTGTTATATGATGTATTTATTTTTACTTAAATGCCATCTTCTATAGTAGCAAGTAAGTTTTACTTCAATCGCACAAAGATCGAATTTGACTATCATTAAATATAATGTCAAAACCAAATAAACTACACTACAACACTAAATGTATATCAAACAAACAACTATCGAACTAGGTTCAGCTAAATTTCCAGTTAATTCCAAATTACAGAAACGTGCATTTTCACTATTTTTATAAAACTTGTCATCTGATCCTTTTACCCCATGGGATCCAATGTCTCATTTTTAATTTTCAAGGGATTTTACAAAATAATAGTTTAAATAAAAAACGATTGGATATATCATTAAACATAGCAATAATTATAAAAAAATGAGTAACGTATATTTAAAAATTATATTCAAGTATCATAAACTATTCAACAAAGCTTAAAACCAAAAAAGCTACCAAAGATGAAAATACTTTTGTATGAACATTGACACGTGGCCATTTATTTTCTGATAGCGATGTGGTAAGAATGATGGTGGACCTTTTTACTCGCTGATCTTTAAACCCCGCTCTACAACAACCATGTTCATTTTTAATATTGTTATGACATTTCTATTTTTTGTGCGATTTTTACTATCTGCAAATACTTTTTAAGTAAACATTAGACTTAAATAATTGAGAGGCCCTATTCTCTTTATAAATTTATAAGTGCAAATCAAGATTATAGTTCTCTGCGTCATTATTAATTCATATTTTGCTTTTATCTTTAGGTCAAAAACATCCCAACACGGTGGAGCTGTTACAAGCGAAGACCCTCTCGGAGAACTGAGGTGGGATAAACCTCTACCTCTGTCAGTATTTGTGGAAAGATATTCTTTGCCCAAGTTGGTCAGAATAAATGACAATCCAGTGGCCGAAATGTTGTGCAGACATTTACCTAACCATGCAGACGTCACCGCCAGGATAGCGCGTGCCAGAAGTGGTAGGAACGCTGGAAGGATACTGAGGATACCGAAAAGTTACCAAGGTAAGTGAAATAAATGATCACAGTGATAGGTTTTTTTGTTTTATTTTACGTATCAAAGTATATAATATATACATTCAGCTACTTTAACAGATAATTTGATACGACAGCGTGTGAAGGATAGCTGTCCTGCGATAGCATCTTCTGTAATTATAGCATCAGATTTTATATGGTTTATGGAAATAAGTCATTGCCGTTTCTTTTCTTAAGTTGGCTTGGTGGTAAAGGTTTGAGCAGGTCACAGCTTAGTTGATTTGGATGTCGACTTTGCCGAGTCTTGTATCTGTAGCAAAAATTTCTTCTTTCACAGTTAGAATTATAAGGGATTGATGCATTAGCCAGATCGGTATATATTTGGGGCGTTCACGTCCAAATTTTGTTTTGGAACCTATATATAATTGCATTGTTTGATTAACTAGCCGCACCCCATAGTTGTAGACCGTAGGACCATATTAGTTTAATAATTGTCTTGTGTATTAGGAGTTTATTTTCTAATGAAACTTGTGATTTCCTATCCATTAACCAAATAAATTGCCTATGAGTCAGTTTAAGCTGCTGGCGCGTCTGAATTATATGTTCATGCCAGGTTAGTCTCATATCCAAATGTATTCCCAGATATTTAACTACATTGGATACAGGGACCAATTCACCACTCAATCTAATAGGAGGGCATGAGCATGAATTGTTTACAAAGTGATAAGTAATACCACAATTAACAGCATCTTCATCATAGATTTTTGTACTTCATTCTGAGCAAAGTCCTTTTCCCTGAGGCACTTGTGCCGATGGCAGTACACCATATATGAATTCTGTCGTGCTTTATTGGCTCATATAATTCACGTATATGTTCGTTTACACACGCCACGATGTAAATCTCATTCGTCATTTAAGTATCCGTCGTTGAGTTGTTGTGAAATGCAATAACGGTATATCAGAATCAGAATCCACATACGTGTTGTGGAGATACAGTCACCGGAGCTGATTGCTTTACTATTCGCAACATTGTTGTTGTTTGGATCGAATTTTAACTGTACGACTTTAATAGACTTATTTAATACAACAGTTAAATTTCTCAATTCAATCGCGAATTTGTCCATATAATTTTAGTGGTTATAGACATCTGTGAATTTTAATTAAGATCAGTGCGCTCGTAGTTAAAAGGTAGTCATTAAACGACTTGTCATCGATGTTACTTGATTTGGTTACGAAGAATTATTGATTCCACATGGATTCCACTTTGACGAGTACATGAAAGAAATATTTAACTGTTTAAATCAATTATTAACTTCCTGTAGGGTAAGTATTGTAATCGTCCAAAAACGAAATTGAAAATTTTTACATTTCTTCACGTTTTTAAGGTTTCTGAACATTTTGACACACCTCAGGAAAAATGGATATGTGTGTATGTCTGTGTGTATGTGTAAGTATGTATGGATACAATTTTTCGTCCACTTTTCAGGCGCACGAATCAACGGATTTGAACGGTTCAATTCCTATTGATAGGGAGA